AACATTGTGTGTTTTGAGGTGCTGATAATGTTCTCTCATAATATACTCAGAAACTTTGGAGACTTCTGCTTCACAGAGCTAATACCATAGTGAGGTAGGCATGAACTATGTGCACAGACCTCACACAGAGACACACTCTGTGTGACGCTCTCACAAAACATTGCACCGAAGAATCTTCGGTCAAGATAAGAATCTTACTAGTCCCTGTTAGATGATACACTAACATGAAACCTGTTTTCTACGAATATTTTCTGTATACAAGGACTGACATTTTAAGTGATACATATCACACTCATGTGCATGCATATTCACACGTATGTGAACACAGAAGATGCTGATCTTACTGTTCCAGTTGTATATGAACCTCATTATAAATCAGTCTTAGGTAGCATTCAAGAAGCTTTATCTTCGAGAATGGACATAATGATGTGAGGCATATCATATTACTTGATAAAAACTACACAAAGTATATACTGAAGGATTGCTTCTGCCTGGGTAGTTTAAGGAACATGACCCTTGAATATAGCTCACAGGATAAGGAAGCAGCAACATGATAAATTTATGTTATATTTAGGTACTAGCTACTTACATATTTAAAACATACTATTAGATATAATTTGTTTTTCTAATTCATATCTGAAAATACTTTCTACAGTGAAAAGTTATTTTTTTAAAGAGTGAAAACTCATCAAGTTAAACAATTTACCCTCCACAAATGGTTAACTTTCTACACAAAAACAGCATTATTAAAATTCTAGAGAAACTAGCTTTAAAAGGATAGTCTGATTTTTAAAATATATTGCTTTATTTTGGATTTTAAACCATCATTTAAGCAGGGTATGTAGCTCAGTGGTAGTGCACTTACCTACTATGAAGGAGACTCTGGTTTGATCTCTAACACCAACAGGAAAACACACACACACACACACACACACACACACACACACACACCTGGCAAGAATATGTAATTTGCAGAACACTACCTCCTTTTCTCTCAATAACAACCTGTACACTGTTTTTAGTTTTAGAACTATGATTATGATAGATCACCCTCGTGTTACAGCACAGTAAATCATAGAAGTTCTGAGGCCCAACAGGACTTGGTTAATGTACTCTGGCATTTTAGATTATCCAAATTAGAACCAGTCATATGCATTTTCTGCCTGAGCATTTGTTTGCAAAGAAATAAAGTAGGTGTCTTGCTTTACATATGAAATTCAGAGGAGTGAATTCTAGCAAAATCTAGGATTACATTTCAAAGATTCAAAAGTATTTTTCAAGTTACTTATCATCTAGTCTATTGTAAATCAAACCTGAGAAACTTTGAAAGACACCAGGTGCTTTCATATTTCATAAAAGGAACAACTCAAGTTTGAAATAAAAATATGCCAAAATTTTTAAATTTGGGATTGAGGACTGATTCCAGTGCCTCTTTCAACCACTGAGCTTATGTCCAAGCCTGAAAACCCCGTGTCTCAAGTTAGTAATTCTAGCATATTACCCCTTACTATAAAACTACTCAGGAGTCCTTAACTTTAAGGAAAAAATACCTAATTCTGAACTAGTCTATAGTTAAAATATACTTTGTATCTGAAAGTGGCACATTTTATTATCCATAATAAAACATAGAATTATTCAAATTTAGAGAATAATATAATTAAGAACATGACTGAAGGACACCTAAAAATTAGTCTTGGTTTTTGCAGATGACCAGCCAAGACTACTAATCACCAACATCCTGCTTCAGTTTCTTCCTATGTAAGTAAAGGCCTTACTGACATCAGGTCCAGAACTCCATTATCCTATCATCTGTGTCTAGAATCAAAACATATAATTAATTTGAATTAAAATACTTTAAAAACTGTTATTTTTACTTTTAACCACCTTATTTTCAGAATATGAGTATTTGTAACTGAAGGCATTCCTCTTTTTCTAAGAGTCTTAGATTTTCTAGAATTCTGGATCCTGCTGTCCTCCCTACCTCTTGCTTTGATGATTATGTCTGGGCTGTCTACCTATGATGTAATTAAAGGTTCTGGCTCTTCTGGATTAATTGTGATAGCTGGTCAAATAAATGACCAGTTTAGTGATAACTTTGCTTAAAACTTGGGCAACCACCCCAGTAAGTTCCTATAGGGCTTTGAGACACCTGCCCAACTTACTGCCCTGTAAAGCTTTGAAGGGCTTATGGATATTCTTCAACTTGAAGATAGAATTGTATCTTTTTTGTTAAACCTTAATAAAGCCATATAATTATCTATAGTCCCCAACAGATTGTGTGGTTTTGAAGAGAGCAGCAGTCTCTTATATAAGACCCTTTCCTCAATTAAATTCTTTAGAATGACGGTCACAGGACATCACATGGGCATTGCTGAGAGTCTATGAGGTAAATCATTTATGTTTGGGATAGTAAGATGATGGTTTGAAATCCACAGAGTAAACACTAGAAACAGGAGGAAAGAGAGGGGTTTCCCCACAAATGACCCTATTTTCTTCTCCTCTTGTTCATAAAGATGGAGCTCATGTCCTGTAACAGCGGTAAGTCTGCTGGGTTGGCACTAAACCAGACTTGGCCAGGGCTCTTCTGACAGTCTCTCTCTGAAGTGTGCATTTCTAGCTTTCTTCCCTTTCCACAAAGTCCTGCTCCTGAATTTCCAGGCAGATATTATGTGTCAGCAGGGCTCTGCCCTGTGTGCTTCACGTTTCTAAATAGTCATGCTGGGAATCCTGTGCTTTCCCATAGTAGTTGATGAAGAACAAAAATAGACCCCAAAATGTTTCATTGTGAGGGCTATTTGCATATCAGATAACGCTGTATGCCTCAACCTCATTCAAAGGCACGACCTTTAATTTTTGTTCTATCAGTTTTCTTGACACTGATACAGAGCTTTCAAAGCCTGAATGGATGATTTTAATTCATGTATCACACCTGGAATTGTTCTTTACAACAGAAGCAGACTGCACAACCCAAAGGAACTTTAACATATTCATTAGAATGTGAGAGAGCAGGGCCAAGGACCAAGTGTGTGATTGAACAGAAAGATGTATTGAGAGACTTAACTTTTGTTCTCTGGGCAAAAGAACAGCGGTAGAACACAAAGATTAATTTCCTACTTTAGCATTCATCAGGGAACAACACATTATTACTTGTAACATACACAAGGCTGTTGATGGATACACTCTCCTTCGATTGTTCAAACTAAATGTGCTCCTATGAAAGGCACCCACACATACATGTGTGTATAATTATAAATCCAAATATTCATTAATAGTTTAGATTTCTGTATATCTATACACAAGATATCAGTAGAGACATTAGATATCTTATTTGGCCACAAGAGTGGTGATTTTGGGCTGGTGGTTGACTGAACAAATTTAGACAAAAAAAAAAACAGAAAAATTAAATGATCAATATACATTACCATAGCAGAAAATTCAGAAATTCAAACTAGGGGCTAAGAGGAGGAAGCATGCATTACAGAGTACAAGGTAATAACCGCGTCTGCATGCCTTAATACCCTCTTGTCCCAGCAGTCCTGACTTTCTGAGCAGCCCACTTCTCCACATTAACGGTAGTCATTTGGAGAGCAGCAAACGTGCCATTAGAAGCACTTTTACAAGTGTATATTCATCCACCAATTAGCTTAATGTGGCCGCTTTCTGCATATTTTCTATCCAGGCTTGCACAAATCTTATTAATATTTCCCCCTAGCGCTTTGACAGATTACCTTGTCATTACGCATCCTGGAGCCTTTTAAACAATATGGGTAAACTACTGTTTGTGAGGTTAATGACAATTATCCCCTAATTACTGCATAAGTCACTCAGTCCACTTTATCTCATAGGCAGGGTTCTGCTCTGTGTATCTGCCATTGTGTCACTGTAAATGAATCTTGTATTGCTATGTTTATCTGCCATTGCCTTGTAAATTATACTGACAGAAGAATGAACAAATTACTGCATGTCATCACTTAAATACTACTTCTGAAATTAAAATAAAAAAAGCCTCAGCACAGAGCTTGGATTTTAGCAGATCACAATTAGTAAAAACATATTTAATGTTTTATGTTACATTTCAAGCCTGAGAGCTTGAAATTTAGTGGTGGAGTCACAACAATGAGACTGGGGTGAGTAGAAGGTGAAAAGCAATGGGGATTTTCAAAAAGAGTGGAGGAGGAGGAGAATGAAATAATGATGCTAGCCTGACCTCCTGAATGCATTTCCTATTACTTTAATAGTTGATACGGCATTCTGGAAGTATTTTCCAAGGTTTATCAATTTTAAATCAAATTAAATGGGTTAGGGATAAGCCATACTCTTCAGCTGGGATCATTTTTTTCGGTTACTTATAACTACTCCAGACACAAAACACAGAATCTATGTAATTGAGAACAGATAATGTAATAAAGGCCACAGGCTAAGCCAATTTCATTGATGCATTTTTAAACATTATTAAACAGGTTCAGAAACACTGTTTCCAAACTTGCATTTGAAATTGTTTAACAATGTTTACATCAGTGAAATTAGTTTAGTCCATTGTTGTACTACAGTGACTACATCTGTGCTGATAAAATTTACAGAGAAAATAAGGGCCACATAAGACTTTTTTAAAAAATAATGGAGAATGGGTCAATTGCAAATGATGTACAAAGAAGATTTTGTTTTTTTACCTGACATTGAAGATTTTGCAGACTTTCTGGTAAATAAATGTCTGCATGAGAATGGGCAGACCCATTTAGCTTCTTGAGATGACCACCATTCAATATTTAAACCTCTCTGAAATGGAAGACATTAAAAATGTCTCCATTTAATGACACTAGGGTGGCTGATAACTGGCAAGCATAAGAAACAGGGCCACTGTGATCTGAAGTCTATCTTTCAACCCTCAATTAGCCGGGCGTGTAGAAAGCTTGCATGAAATTGCCTTGTGACAGCAGTGGTTTGTAAGGAGGGGCTCCCAGCACAGACGATAAAGCTGTCTGATGGCAGCATGTACTCACAAACACAGCTCCTCTTGGTGCCCTTGATGAACAGGCTGGAAGAAAACGCTGCAGCAAAAGCAAAGGGAAACATGAAAGCCAGGCTTGACAGGTCTAGCTTGGGGGCTGCTGGATTCTAAGTACAACCCCTAGGGCTCCAACCCCATAGACTGATTTGTCTGTATGGTGTTTAGGCAATGCAGCTTCAGCCAAGCAGGAGCTGCAGGCCAAGATGGAAATACTATACAAGGCTCCTGCTTCTTGAGTCTTTTTTAAGTTAGAAGGAATAGGCTCCAGGTTAAGATTGACATCACTATGACACTAATAAGAATTTTAAAACCTTTCCCTGTTTAAAAATACTAATTAAGTCTATTTATGGATAATATAACTTGGGAAAGCGGCTTTACCTGTGCTAATGGTATATGCAACTGCTTACCTTTATGTTTGGTGTATAAAGGACATAATCAGACAGATAACATATTTTAATGAGTTTGTGAAATCAGTGCTGTTTAGACAAAGATAAGTATGAATACTGAAAGACACTGTAAGCTAACATGTGAAAACAGCCATGAAGGGAACAGATAGTATTTCCTTCCTTGCTTTAACCATCTCTTTACATGTTTATCAGTGCACGTAAGTGGCATCACATTTCCAAACTTTGAGACTAGGAATGCTTCACTCTAACAAACCTTTAGAGCAGTGGTTCTCAACCCCCAAAAGACGATTGAAAAACACAGATATTTACATTATGATTCATAACAGCAAAATTACAGTTATGAAATAGCAATGAAAATAATTTTATGTTTGGGGGTTACCACAACATGAGGAACTGTATTATATGGGTGCAGTGTTAGGGAGGCTGGGAACCTTTAGAGGCTTCCTATTATAGAAAGAATGCGTCATATCTGGCATTTGAAGGCTCCTCAATACAGATATGACCTACTGTTCACACATCAACTCTTGGTGAGACCTCTGAAACTCCAAGTCAAGAGCTACTTGTTATTCGTGTGAAAACTACCAAACTGTCCTGGCTTCTCAAGGCCTCTACTTTCCCTCACCATTCTCTTCCATCTAGGCTCAGCTGAAGCAAAACTAGAAGATGTCTGATGCTCCCTTCCTCCTTGCCAATCTCAGAAACAATTACCTGTCCTCAGTGATTGACGTGTACTTTCATGTCATGTATGCGTCTGTACCACAAGCTTACAGCCCTTTCTATCCCCACTGCTGAGGTGAATCGATGGTGAATGGATTTATTAGTACTGTGCATGCAGTGGTTGAGAGGCAGCTCAAGATCATGTAGTGTACAATGTTTTTCAGATGAGCAGTTTTACCTGCTTAAAGTCAGCAGGCTGAAGTATGACTGGATGACTTGGGTTGCTTCAGTGTTTTCCCCACAGTATGGTCTTTTTCTCCTAGTCAGTGGTTCTCCACTCAGGGAAGACAGACTTTACTCCATCCCATTGCCACACCCAGGGTTAAGTGAATTCTAATTGGTGTGATGCTCTCCAACCTCTTATCTGAACTACTCAAAAGGCAATTCCCCATGGACAGAACTCTCTTGACTATGCAGAAGGCCTCCAGCTGAAATGTCAGGTCATTTCCCCTGGGTCTGCTTAGGCAAAGGAGGCAGCCTCCTGACTATTGCTATAGGGACAGGGAAAGGTTAAGAATGATAGTTTGAACAAATACTATATAGTTAAACTTAATCCTCACCTTTTCTCCCTGTAAGTACCAGCAAATTTCTTAGGAAATGTTTTTGCTAATGATGCTACATTCACATTGGACATTTTCTTCAATGAAAGTAAGTCCTACTGTATAAACAACAAGAAAGCAAAGTGTGGCTGGTGTCTGTAACTGTGGAGTGGATAGATGTAAAACAGCAGTTAATATTATACATAGAAATAATGAAACACTGCAATGACAAATATTTCTATATTAGGATTTCCCCTCCATTTAATCTCCTTCCAATAACATTTTATCAATTCCTAAATTCCCTTCTAGTCTTCTCATGTTATTTCTCATTTATGACCTATATCTACTCTAACTATTTTATGAAGAAAACTACAATTCTGGGTGTTTCTTTTGAGATTTGGCCTGTAGATCAATAAAACTAACACCCTTGGGCTAGGGTGTAGATCAGGCAATGTTATGCTTGCTTAGAAGCTGCTAGGCTTCCTCTCCAGCACCCTCCCTCCACCTGAATTACAATATAACCAGTTCAAAAGAACTAGTGTCTGATGGGGGAGGGATTGTGAAACAAAGAAACAATATCTAATATAAAACACATACAAGTGACAGAGTGTGTTTCTTGCTAACACTTTAATTTTAGGCTAAAGGGCTTTATTAATATGGTCCCTATGCCTTAGTTTCTTCATATATGGAGTGAGATTTGAAAAAATTAGTTACTGCCGGAGCAATTAAAACAAGTTAAAAAAAACTATTAGCATTACCTAGTATGACTGTGCTCTGACACTAAGACAGGGAAAAGTATCTTGCACATATGTTTTGTGTTATTTGTATCAGCTTGAGATCCTGCTACTCATCTGAATGATAAAAGGTTGGGCAAGTCATTTAAAGTCATAGAGGCAATAATCTTTGGAATTACTGTTCAAATCAGCTTGAAATGAAGAGTCTTCCACCTCTATACCCCACTTGACCCATCATTAGTTTCCTTGCCTGCTTGGTCCCTTCCCCATTCCTATCTGAATTCCAGGACTGAAGCATTAGCTTACTTAATGGGTAATCCAGTGTCTGTTCATATATCTGCTTCTTTCACTTGTCATTTACACGTATTCTTACAAGTTTATTAATGGCCCATCTTATTTTCTGATTTGGTGGATTTAAGTTTCTAATATACTCCTCTCATCCATTTACAGGATGCCAAGTTGATTTTTCCCACACCTCTGTTCATGTTGCAATCCTTCCAAAGTAAACTTTCATAGCTCTAGTTTGTTGTAAGATTTCAGCATAAAGTATTTAATGTTGGCATTCAAGAACTGTTTCAAGCTTCCTCTAAGTCTTACTTCACATAGGCACACTGACATCCAGGACTGGACAACCTGACTTTCACAGAGCATTGTGTGATGTCTCTACAGCATCTTTCTATTTATATTGTTCCTTCTACCTGCAACACTTTCTCATGTGTGGACTCACAGTGGACTCATGACTGTACAAAGGTCCACCTCTCAAGAGTTAACTGTACTGACGCTTGAAATAGTGCTTAAAAATTCTGTTCTTTTCCTTGAAGTTTTTGGTATAATCTGTTTTCTATCTACATACTGTGCTGCATGTAATCTGGGATGACTCTTTACATTGTAGCCAATCCCTTGAGTATCAGAATTCTGCAACCCTCATCTTCCTATCCCATGTTCTTCAAGTGTCATCTCATCTACTTTTGAAATGCAGTTCTTAAATGTAATTCGTTTGTTGTAAACTAACAACTAGTAGTTCCTGTAAGCCCAGCCATTTTCTTTAGAGATGCTTACAAAAACAAACAGAAAGCAGCCACTGTGAGTCAGAGGCAGGTTTTCTAGTGTGTGATCAGTCACATTTGCAATTGCAGACGCTCAGACATTTCATGCCACTCACTTCAGAAAATAACAAATAAGGATTTTCTGACACAAGCAGTAATTCATTTTTCTGGAAACAGTTTTTAATATCTTGGTTAGCCTTTGTTCCTGAATTCATTTTGTATAGGATTTTTCCTAAGTTTAGGAGCAAATACTACAATTTCCTAAACTGTGAAAATAAATAACAAAACCGAAAGAGAGTGCTCATTATAGGAGAATATGCTAGATGAAAAATTTAGAGAAATGTAGTAAACATTAAGGAGTTTCAAAATGCAAATATAGGAATAGAAATATTCATTTTAAAAACTGACAGACTAGAAGCACTTTCCATGATAGGTAAAACTGAATTACTGGATGGTCAAACTGAATATTAGAACATTAAGGTAACATTAAGAACAGTAATTCATCAAGTTCTGAATAGAATTTGAGGTGAATTACTTTCAGCAATGAGGGGGACAGATAATTCTTTTATGAAATATTTGATAAAAATAAAGTGACAAAGAGAAAATAGATATGAAGGTATATGGAAATATACCAGAGTATTTAATTATGACTGTATCTGTTCAATTACTATTATGGAACTCTGGTCCTCTTCTAAAAATAAAAGGTACAGAATAGGGAAAAAGATGTTAGGTCTCAAAGATGATTATCTTCAACTGTATTGTGGATCTTGACCATATTTACCCATATACCCTTTCTCCCCACCCCAGCTAGTCTTCATAGCCCTCAATTTCTTCTCTACTTTCATGTCTGTCATATATATGTATGTCATTATGAATATGACTTATTTTGCTTAATATGATGACCTTCAGTTGTATTTACATAATTTTTATGTAAAAGAATATATTTTACTCTTTTTCATGCAGAATTAAAATTCCATTATATATTCCATAGTAACTAATTATGCTTCTTTGGATTTTCCTGAGACATTGTCTCATTCTAGCCCAAGCTAGCCTGACTGATTATGCATTAAAGGCTAGTCTTGAACATAGTTTTGTAGACTCTCCATCCCCTATTAATTAATGTATACGTTTTAGTCTCTGAAGTGCTGGCATTGTAGGTATGAGCCAAAATGCCCATTTCCAAAATTTACTATGAATAATTGTCCAAATTTCAGCTCATAAAGAATGTAGACATTTTCTTTTTGCTTATTAAAGAATTACCTATTAAGGTAGGAGACAAAATTTTTGCCACTCAACCTGCCTTCTCTTTTGGTCTTTTTTAATGGAGTGAAACTAGACATTACCTAAAATCCACATGCTATTGATTTTCCTCTTTCAAGACAAGCATGTCACATTCCCAGAACACAAAAGCCAAGTGTATGTGAGGCAAACTGTAGACAAATGAACAGTGCCGGGTCAGAAGTGGCAGGTGCAGCTGAGCACAGCCAACAGTGGCCACTACTGAATCTAGTTTCTGCCTTTTCCTTTCTGCCCAAATGCTCTCCTGGATGCTAATTTTCAGCCATACTTCTGTATCTGTTTCTTCTCATTTCAAATG